AATGTGAATACATAGATTCTAAAACTTTTCCTCTGAAAACCTGTCTTCGTCTTGCTTTCCTGTCTAATTTGTGCCCTTATCACCTCCGCAGTCCGGCCCTGTATATTACTGTCAGTGAGGGGAACCTCTGGAAGGGGGCCCTGCCAGGAAGCGTCCGAACCCCTGCTATTTTCATTCCCAAGGTTATATTTGCTTTGTAATCACGACCTCCCTCCTTATAGCAGCCTCTTAGTCCTGGGCAGGGGAACACACGAAGCGGCCCTGGGGTCCCTCTTCCATAAGAAATACAAATGGAGGGGTGCTTGTGTGGCTCAGTCGGTTAAGCGTCCGACTCCTGGTTTTGGCTCAGGTTACGATCTCACGGTTTGTGAGTTCGAGCCCCGCATTGGGCTCTGTGCTCATAGTATGGAGCCTGCTTGGGATTCTCTCACTCCCTTTCTCTCTCTGACCCTACCTTCCTTGCTCCCTCTCTCTAAAAATAAATTAATACACTTAAAAAAAAAAAGAGATATAAATGGAAAACAGATGACCCTGCCCTTCTTAGACCCGGGAGATTCTCTTTCAGGCTCTGGACATCCTCTTATATCTGTTTTAGAAAGAAACAAAGTTAACGCTAAGTTAACCAAGAGGAGAGGGAAAGGCTTTTCTATATTTTCCATTAGAATGCCTTTGGTTACCCAAACAAGAGGCCAGTCATCACGTGTTCTAGACTCAGTTTACCAAACAACGCATTTTTCTTTCTCCTGCGTGTCACGGGTAGAAAAAAAACCTCAGAGTATTGTGTATCCTTTGGTACCTACTTGACTGAAAAATTGAAGATCTATGAATATATATAATAGTATGTACAGAATACAGATAGCTATAACTATATTGACTGTGTGTGTTTTCATACTGTGTAGACATAGTCCCTTAAGCAGTTCCTTGGATGATTAATATTTTATAACGTTGATGGGCTGGTATCTACCCATTGGACCCAACCTGCACCATCACTGTCCTTTTTCATTATTGTAACCACCCCCGGCACCTCTCTAGCTCCCTCTTACCCCTTAGTTGTAATTGAAAGAGGAAATAAGGAGGCCTCTATCGTAATGCAGGTGAGCTTGGCACCCCCCCCCTTGGCCATTTAAGGCCTGTTATTTGAGGAAGAAAAGCAGAAACTCAAAAGAGAAGAGTCTTGCGGTCCAGCAGTAAGAATAATATTCGTTTCGTTTCCTCTTCTGCCTGCCGCCGGCGGCCAGAGAACACCTGTCTCCGTAACCAGTACCGCTGCAGCAACGGGAACTGTATCAACAGCATTTGGTGGTGCGACTTTGACAACGACTGTGGCGACATGAGCGACGAGAGAAACTGCCGTGAGTCTCTTAGCTTGGCCGGGCGTCTGGGATGTTACACGTTTGTGGTTACCCGCGAGGCCGGTCAGCTCCTCCCAGGTGGGGACCTGCCACCCCAGATGGGCCCTCATGATCAGCGATGCCCGTTTAGGCTGATGGGGCTTGGAGAACAGAGAAGAACATGTCTCCACCGCCACTTAGATACAGGTTATTGTTTAACACCCAACCCCCACAGGTGAGGGAACTGCTCACTACAAGGGGTTGACCAAGAAGCATCGCGTGGCTGAAACTGAGCTGCCTGGGGCGTGGGGCAGCCTGGGCTGTAACTGTGGCCCTACTACTGTGATAAAGCTGTTGACCAGGTGACATTCCTTGATCGGTAAATTCAACCTTTTCAGAGATTGGAAACAGGTTTTACTTTGTATGCCACTCCAGTCGGCGGATATCAGCTGACTGCCAGGCTCTAGAGTGATCGTCCTAATTGACTGATGATGCCTGGTTTGGTTTGAAATGCGGGGCTGTTGGGGCGCCTGGGTGGCGCAGTCGGTTAAGCGTCCGACTTCGGCCCAGGTCACGATCTCGCGGTCCGTGAGTTCGAGCCCCGCGTCGGGCTCTGGGCTGATGGCTCAGAGCCTGGAGCCTGCTTCCGACTCTGTGTCTCCCTCTCTCTCTGCCCCTCCCCCGTTCATGCTCTGTCTCTCTCTGTCTCAAAAATAAATAAACGTTAAAAAAAAAAAAATGAGATGCGGGGCTGTTGATAGGTGTGCATGGAAACATCCACTCCAAAGAGTGTATACTTTCTAAGGGTAACAACTAAAATATATGATTGTGTTTAGCAAGGTTTAAAGACAAACAAATAACTACGTATCATGGGTAATTGATTTACTTCCAGTTTTTAATTTTTAGTAGCTTCGACATTACCTTGTAAGGAGGTGCTTTGCCTTCTGACAGTGAGTAATACGTTCAGACATTCAGTCAGCAAGTATTTGTTGAGGACTCCTTTGTTCTAGGCTCTGTGCTCTGTGCTAGGCTCTGTGCTTGGCTCTGTGCCTGGCCTCAGGTGATCAGGTGGACAGGTGGATCAGGAGTTTACAGTCTGTAGGGGAGCTGGAAAAATAGAGAGGCAGTTACAGAGGAGCCTATGAGTGCTGTGATGGGGACGCACCATATGCATCCAGGAAGAGCACACAAATCAAACTTGGGTAGGTATTTATGGAGAGCCCTGAAGAAGGGTGGGTAGAGGTGAACCAAGCAGAGGTGGAGGGAATATTGTGGTAGGTAACAGAACCACAGGTATGAAAACCCAGAGGTCAGAGTGCGTGGTGTGGGACACCGGTGACAGGAATGGAGAGTTGGCCTAGGGATGGTCCCCAGAGCAGCAAGGGCCTGTGAGCTTTATTCAGAGGAGCAGTTGGGAACCGTTGAAATGACATGATGAGATTTTTGTCTTTGGAAAGATAAGGACTAGGAAGAATGCACTGGAGCGGAAGCAGACCAGGAGCAGGCAAGCCAGAAACTAATCCACAGGCTTCTCTTTCAAATATTTCCCCATGAGAAATCCAGAAGCTCGTTGACCATTTTGTGCTGTAAGAAGAGGTCGATGGGTGCCTCCTGGCTCCATATACTCTTCTGGCCTCTGGTGGATGTACTTAGCCGGCCACCTAAGGGGCCTGTGCCAGGTTCCCAGGCTGTTCTATCCAGAAAGTAACCTCAGGAGCAGTCAATTCACTGACAAAACTATGTATTGCCCTTCCTGGCTCACAGGAGGTTTTTACTAAACCTCTTCTTAATGATTTTTTCCTTGGTTTCAGTGGTTGCCATTCACACCCAGGGAGAAGAGCTTACTGAACGGCAGATTTGGGAAAACATTAGGCTATCTGTGTGTTTCTTCTTTTCTTTTCTACCAGAGTCTCAGGAAGGTGTGGTGTTGGTGGGGGGAGAGCCAAAGCTCCTTAAAAACTGTCCACATGAACAACAGGGGAGCCTACCTTGGAAAGGACTTTATTACACAATGGGGAGGGAGAGGAGATGCTTCTTAGAATTGGCACGTTGGGTGCAGATTGCCAAGATATGATTAGGCTTGGTGGAAGCAGAGAGATTTAAACTAGATGACCTTGTGTCCAGTGATAAGGATTCTACCCTGGGTTTTGGTGTCTACTCGACGGATAAGCCGGGATCTTGTGTTGGTTCAGCGTTAGGAGGGAAGGACCTCCCTCCGTGTTTAGGACTTGACGCTCTCCCGCCCAGCCCGTGAGCTCTGCACGGGCCTCACAGGCTTCCAGAGAGTTCACACTCGTCCTCTGGGTCAAGTTGGCAGCTGGCTCTGAACCCGCCCTGCTTTGGTGTCACCGTCAGCTGGGATTGACCTTCCCGGGACCACGGGACTTACTTGCTGCTCTGTTCTTTCTCCATTCACTCCACTTGGCCCAAGTCCCGACCAGTCAGATGTGGCAGAGGGGAGGGGTGACAGGGCACCCAAGAGAGTGGTGCTTGTCTGTGCCTGCTCAAGCGGCTCCCTTATCAAGGAGGAGGAGAGCTGCGCTTATCCTGACGGTGGAGGCGCCCCGGCCGAGGGCAGGGCTGCAGGAAAGGGGCAGGCTGTGGCTGGGCAGTCCTGTCTGGGAAGTTAAATGCAACATCCCGTCAGCTGCCAGGGGGTGTGGCAGGGAGGCATCCTGTCAGTTCATCTCCCTCCTGCGCACACACACTCCTGTGCTGGGTAGCTGTCAGGCGCTCTGGGTTTTGACATGAATCCCCTGCAGCCTTGTCATTTTTTGCATTCATCCTCTGCCTCCCACCATGAGCTCAATTACAGAGAAGAAATGGAGCCTCAAATAAGAGCTGCTGGGGATGTGTCACGGCAGCGCTGGCTTTTCATTTCACGGCACAGCCCCACCCTTCGCCCCAGGATTCTCTTCTGTCACATCCTACCTTGTGTGTCAGCTGCTTCCGAGAGCAGCCTTTCCTGGAGGGTCCTTGGCTGGGGTCAGGGGGTTGTGCTCACCTTCAAATAAGTTCTGTTCCAAAGAGGGAGAGGAATCTGTACCCGTTCAGATGCAGTCGGGCAGAGGAAGGACAAGGAAGAGACGTGACATCTGGTGGGAGCCTCTTCTATTTTACAGCCTATCTAATGGGCTCTGGTCCCAAACCTATTTCCTTATTTATTTTCACAAGCCTGTCACAGGGTAGGTATTGTACGATTTCCACATTACAGTGGAGAACACAGAGGCACAGGACGGTTAGGTTACATAAGTAAGTGGTAGATAACAGAACCGAGAGATCCGTATCTAGTCTTTCTGTCATCACAGCACTTGGCCCCATCACCTTATCCTCTTCCTGCTGTGCAGGAAACGGGCTCAAGGAGGTTAAAGTTAATTGCTTGAGGCAGAGGCAGAGCCAGGATTTGAAGCCTGACAACGGGGACCGCGTGCCCGCTGCAGAATCCTTGCCCAACACTCCCTGTGTCATGGAGACGAGGAGGTGCCAGCTTCTTGTGCAACATCGGGCTTCTTAATGGTAGTTTTTCTAGATGAAGGTGTTTCTGCCACTTAGGAGGACCCCTCCGTGTCGGAGCGGATCGTAGGAGGTAGTCCAGCCCATCAGTCTCTCTCCCAGCTGGATGGTGGTTTCTCACTTTCCCAGCCCGGTTCCCATCTGGAAGCTGTCTACCGAAAGACACGCTCTGATCTCCCTTGGTTGTAAATTTCAGGTTCTCATGGGTTTTTTTTTTTTTTCCCCCCCTTGGTTGGCTTTCCAGGGAAATGTTTGTGTTTGGTAGGGGGAATGAATTGTTCCTAACGAGTATGTTGTGTCTCCCATCTTAGCCACTACCGTTTGTGATCTGGATACCCAGTTCCGTTGCCAGGAGTCCGGGACCTGCATCCCCCTCTCCTATAAATGTGACCTCGAGGATGACTGTGGAGACAATAGCGATGAAAGTCATTGTGGTAAGGAGACATGACATCCAGGAGCCCCGTTCCTGAGCAGGGTGACTCTCTTTGCTCACTGGGCTGTTGTGGGTTATAGATGCAGAATTTCTTTTCCTTTCTTTTCCTTTCTTTTCCTTTCTTTTCTTTTCTTTTCTTTTCTTTTCTTTTCTTTTCTTTTCTTTTCTTTTCTTTTCCTTTCCTTTCCTTTCCTTTCCTTTCCTTTCTTTTCTTTAAATTTTTTTTAAAGAAGTTTATTTATTTATTTTGAAAAATAAAGAGTGTGCGTGCAAACAGGGTAGGGACAGAGAGAGAGGAAGATGCAGAATCCCAAGCAGGCTCTGTGTCACGAACGCAGAGCCCCGCACGGGGCTCGAACTCACAGACCATGAGATCATGACCTGAGCTGAGATCAAGAGTTGGACGCTTAACCGATTGTGCCCCCCAGGCGCCCTGATGCAGGATTTCTGAAAGCGTCTCTGGGTTTATGATAGTCCAGCTGCATGGCCACCATGGTAGGAATGATTCATTCAAAAAATAACAGCCGCTGCTTGTGCCTTGCAGAGGCGCTGTAAGCATGGGTATGATAGCGAGGAAGATTGCTAAATGAATTTAGGCGGTTCGTAACAGCTGTATGCGGAACAGACTCGGCCCACACATCTGGGTGGCTGTGAGATTAGCCTCCCGAACACACAGATCAATACCTTTGTCAACGTTTTTTAAAACCAATCTAACTCAGTAAACTCTGTTAGAAGCCCAGCAGATGGTACGAACGTTGTTTGAACATCTGTTTCCCGAATGGAGATTTTTACATTTAGAAAAATTAGCGTGTTGGAATTGCAAGGCGTGATAAGGAGTTCTCTAGTTCAAGTTCAGTTTCCAATTAAATGACCGAAGGGACATATTTCAGGTGACACTATGAGTTTGTGTCAGAGTAGCAACCCGGAGCCTTGTTTCCCACCCCGCCCCCGCTGCTGCCCGGCACCGGCCCTGCCCGGTTCACGAGGCCTGTCTTGGTGAATGGCTCTGGTACCCAACTCGGCGTCGCTGACTGTGCAAGGAGGAGACGTTACACAGTGCACACAGTGTACCAGATTGGAGGGATCCTGGCCATGAAGGGGAAGTGAGAACGGAGGCCAGACGCTGACCCCAGACATCGTGATGAGTTGGTGTGGCCATGCCAGTTCTCTCTGCCCACCCACGGGGCAGGTCCGGTCAGGCTGTGCCGGTGCTTACAGATGGGGCCTGCTATTTTCACCAGCAGGCAGTTTGACCCCAGGGACTGGAATGAGGAGAGCAGGGGAAATGCTCCTAGCCTGGCTCTCTGAGGAATTTTGTGGGATCACGTCATTTTCCCTCATCTCTGTAAACATAGAAAGTTCTGGAAAGCAGTCTTCGGGATCCAGTGCTGTTCTCCCTGCGTTTCTCCCGTCTCCTCCTCAGCGCCCTCAGAGGGGTGAAGGGCACAGCTTGGTAGGAAGGAGACCCCAGTGGTGTCACTCACTGGGCACACGTGTGACCATCCGATGGCCGGGTTCTCCCTTCATGAGCCTGTTCATGCTAGTGTCTCCTGAGTCCACCCTGGGGTCTCAGTCCCTGACATCCTCAGAGCCAGGTCCTCTTAAATATCTGAATCCCCAACTTCACCCTCAACTTGTCTCCTGAATGAGGGCAACTCAGACTTGGCTACCTCTGTTTTCATAGAATCTTTTTTTTTTTTAATGTTTATTTACTTTTGAGACACACACACACACACACACACACACACACACACACACACACACAGAGTGTGAGCTGGGGAGGGACAGAGGGAGGGAGACACAGAATCTGAAGCAGACTCTAGGCTCTGAGCCATCACCACAGAGCCCAACGCGGGGCTCAAACTCATGAACCATGAGATCATGACCTGAGCCGAAGTCGGATGCTCAACTCACTGAGCCACCCAGGCGCCCCACGTAGAATTTTTAAAACTCCATTTCAGGGGGCGCCTGGGAGGCTCAGTCAGTTGAGCGTCTGACTCTTGGTTTCGATTCAGGTCACGATCTCAACGGTTGGTGGGTTAGAGCTCCGTGTCAGGCTCCACGCTGACAGCTCAGAGCCTGCTTGGGATTCTGTCTCTCCCTCTCTCTCTCTGCCCCTCCCCCACTCGCTCTCACTGTCTCTCTCAAAATAATTAAATAAACTTAAAAAAAAATTTTTTTTTAATTCCATTTGAAAGTTCTGTTTTAAAGGATAGTCCCAGGGCCTGTAAATGGTGTTGCCAGGGAAGCCTGCTTGCAAGTCTTGGCCAGGCTGCACGGGCTCATTTGCCTCAGGACCCCACCTTTCTAGAGACAGCCGGCCGGCCAACATTCCTGGAGCTCTGCCCACAGAAGCTCCCCAGTTTCCTGTGTTTCGGGAGCTCGGCACTGACCTCACGTTCCCCTATCTGAGCATCGCATCCTAATCAGCCCCCTTGGAGTTCTCACTACCCCCTTTCTGAAACCACAGGCTGATACTAGAAGGCTTCTGTTTCTTGAGAATTCTGCTTTTTGGACAACTAGAGCATCGCCCCCAACCTTCCCATCGCAGCAGTCATAGACAGTGGTAATATTTGCAGAGTGCGCCGAGAATAACCCTGTTCTTTCCTGGAGGCAACCGGCAGCAGGAGTATCTCGGGGCACCCGTACCCCATTTGCAGCACGCTAGCTGGAATCAATCCTCAGCGGCCTTGCAAATCCCCGGTGCAAGCCCGTGCTATGTCTGGATAAGTGGGGATGATGCGGATAACGTGTGCCCTGCTAACCCTTAGGGGCTCTGGCACCAGAATGGAATCATGAGCGAGGCTTTGTCCCCACGGCTGTGTGTCTGTGGTCTCTCCTGCAGAAATGCACCAGTGCCGGAGTGACGAATACAACTGCAGTTCGGGCATGTGCATCCGCTCCTCCTGGGTGTGTGACGGGGACAATGACTGCAGAGACTGGTCTGATGAAGCCAACTGCACCGGTCAGTACTTCCTGCTCTCCCTGAACAGCACTTGTCTGTATGTGCGCTGGTTAGCCTCGCAGCCCTACGTGATCGTAGACTCTAGGCTCTGAGAACTGGACCGTAGACATCAGCCAATTGGCTGCTTCTCAAAGAGCTGGTCTGTGATGAGCTTGTGCCGACGGGTAAACCAACATCCTGCTTTCTTCATGGAGAAGGTCTTGCTGTGAAAAAAGGACTGACTAAACGGGTATCCTGATACAGTCGGTTCACATTCTGGCTCAAGCTTATTTCTTCTTGACCGTTAATACACAGTTGACAGACTTGGTCCCTTGTCTGGGGACCCTACATTGGGTAGCACTGGACTAGCTCGTGGTTTTGATTTTTTTTTTTTAATGTTTATTTATTTTTGAGAGAGAGAGCGAGAGAGAGAGAGAGCATGAATGGGGGAGGGGCAGAGAGAGAGGGAGAGAGAAACACAGAATCCGAAGCAGGCTCCAGGCTCCGAGCTGGCAGCACAGAGCCCGACGTGGGGCTCGAACCCATGAACTGTGAGATCACGACCTGAGTTGAAGTCAGACGCTTAACCAACTGAGCCGCCCAGGCTCTCCTAGCTCAGGTTTTTGAATGGGGAGCATCAGAGAATTCCCCAACAGCCAAAGCCTAAAGTGTACTGTGCACCCGTTTGGGGCAAGATTTTATGAAAAATAAAGTTGGAAAGAGCATGAGGATATGAGAGAAAGGCTGGGCGGTGTGATGTGGAGGGAATGTTTGAATTCTTCTGTTGAGTGATGGGTTCACTCATGTTCATTATACTACTTTTTATGAATGAATGAGTGAATGAATGAATGGATGGGGCCCATTTACATTATGGTGGAGTGGAGGAGAACAAAGAATTGGGAACGCTGTGGAGGGGGAAAAAAAAGACTGATCCCACTGCCTGATGAGTAAATTTTCTCTGCAACGTCTTGAAATTCACTCAGTTCTACGTTTAAATCTCTCCAGTGATGGGGCTAAAGTGGTTTCACGTACCCATTTCGTCGTGAGGGCAGATCTGCTTCTTGGCTTTGGTTTTCAATTCACTGTTAACTGCATTAACTTGTCATTCATGCGGTGTGGATCATGGCTCTTGTGGCGGGACTTCCAAGGCCCCTCTCTTAATCTCCCTCGCCCCCCACGTGCCCCACCGGTTCCTACACTGCCCAGCATCTGGGAGCTCGAAGCATGCCTACGAGTGTGTAAAAGCAAATAAAAAGAAGGTTATGTGATCAGATCCCAAATGTAAATAGAGACAACTTGTGTCGTGATGCTTTAGTTTAGATTTGGTTCCTGTAGGGCAGAAATGACCTTTGACCCCTTTGTGTTCTCCCACTGCCCAGCCCCTGGGAAGAGTGCCTGTTCAGGGAACTTTTGTCAATTTGGTAATTTACACAACTGCTTTTCTGTAGTCATCTTAGTTTCGAGGCGACCTCCTGTGGCCTTAAAGAGTACGTGGCCCTCCTCAAATGCCCTATCGTCCCACAGGATGATCTGTGATGTTACTAAATTCTGTGCCCTTGCAAACTTACCCTGAACTTGCCCTTTGTCCTTTCTGGTGTGATCTGTCAGTGTCTGAACCTCTGTTCTGGGGGCACTGCAGGAAAATGCTTCTCTCCAAACATGAGCATGGCCTGCAGAAGGAGGAAAAACCAAG